AAATTATTCAACGTGTTTTACACATTGTTATTTTCAAAAATAGAAAAAAAAAAATCGAAATTCTTTTCGAACAAAAATATTCCACAATTTTTATGGAATGTCCATTCAGATAAAATGCCATTCTTATCGATTCTATTTTATTTAAGTCACTTATCATAGAAGCAGATGAGTAATTGATAATTGATTACATCAGTCTGTAGTAACAGGGTTGTCATATATATATATATATATATATATATATATATATATATATATATATATTTCTTTTGTATCACATTTCATTGACATTGAGTGAAATTTCTTTAAAAAAAAAAAACTGTTATCGAAATACATATATATTTTTGTTAAGAATCTATTTATTAAGAATTTATTTATTTATTAAAAACCAGGTTATTTATTCAGAATTTGTTTATTTATAAAAAAAAAAAATTTGAAATAAAAATAATTTAAAAAAATAAGAATCATGAAAAATATTTTTCTATTTTACTGTGAGTTGAATTTTTAATTTTTCGATTAAAAGTTAATTTTTTTTTTTTTTTTTTTTTCGAAAGTGGTCCGAAAAATAATGGAATCTGGTTGAGGACTCGTATTTCTTTTTCCCGCTTTGCTGACATCGGTCTCTCTTCCTTGTGTGCTTGGCATCGCAGGCGGTAAACTTAAGAACTGCAAGATTCATTAACGGTTCCTCGACACGAACGTTTGTGCATTCCTTTGCTCCTCACGCGTGTGAACGCCATATAGTGTGATGTGCTTAAAACTTAAACGAAAAGAAAAGAGAGGGAAAATTTTTTTTATGAATAGAAAAAGAGAGACAGAATAATAATTAAAAAAAAAAAAAAAATTAATTTAAAAATAATTTTTTTTTATAATTTTTCAAAAATTTTAAAAGGAATGGGATGTTAAGTAGTCAGAGATATGCAAACTCAAAAGACAGTAGACCTTGTCTAGCGTCATTCAGAAACAACGCAAGGAACGTACTACAGTTATTGTAAGTTCAATGGCGTCGTGTCCAGACTCAGGAATCTCGGGAAATTTTTTCTTTTTTTTTTTTTATGGTTATTTCAAGTATATTATTTTTTTTGTTATTAATAAATATAGAATTATTTATTATTAATTTATTTAGATTCAATATTCAAAGTTTTAGTTTTAATACTAAAATAAATAATAAAATAATAATAATATAATATAATAATTATTAAATAAAATAAATGTAAATAAATAAAATAAATTGCAGTAACTTATTAATTAATTTATTTAAATTTAAATTATCCGAAGTTAATGTTAATTTTACTAAAAAAAAAAAAATGTGAATTTTTGCAATAAAAAAAATGCATTCTTGAAAAGAGAAAAAAAAAATTTGCAATAAATGACAAATTGAAAGTGATGATTAACGAGAGTTTGATGACACATCGGAATATTTAAATTAGAAACGACCTTTTGTTTCCAACGTAAATGTGCGAGATATATATATATATATATATATATATATATATATATATATATATATATATATATATATATATAATATTTGTCACACGGTATTCGCGACTTTACGCCCTCGCACTGCCCACGAATAAAGAAATTGTATATATCTCTTTTAACAGAAGAGCCGACTTTTCATCTTTTTTCATCATCATTATCATCATCATCATCATCATCATCATTTTCTTCTTCTTTTTTTTTCTTTTCGTTCCTTCTGTATATATATATATTTTTTTTTTCGAATGCTAAACACGCACGGGTGCATCGTGCTCGCGCCCTTCTTCTCAAACCGATGCATTTCCTCCCTCTCTTTTCGTCTTTTTATCGAGAGAGCACTTCTTATATATATATATATATATACATTTCTCCATTCTCGAGTCACTGAACCGATAAGGTCCGATATTCAGAAAAGAGAAGAAAAAAAAAATTTTTTTTTTTTCTTTTTACCCCAAACGACATTGGAATGCAGTTTATCGCTTCCCGAATTTTTTCCGAGTGTTACACCAGATAGTTATCTCCTCGTACAATGTTATGAGATTAAAGCGGTACAAATAAAAATGTTTTGGGACCACTAACTTTGGTATCGAAAGAATGTAAGAGATTTTTTTTTTATATTATTAATTAAGTATTCAAAAGTACTTTAAAGTTTTCATATTGGATGGAATTTTAAGAAAAAAAAAAAAAAAAAAATTTGACAAATTTATTGATTGTCATTCAAAATCATAATCTTTTTTTTTTTTTTTTAATATTATGTAAATAATATATAGTGCACAACAAATTGTTTGGTTCTTAAAAAATTTATTTTTATCCAGCGAATAATTTGATGCGCTAATTAAATTAATTAATTAGGTAGGAATTACTATTAATTAATCAGGTATTAATTTTTATTAATTAATTAGATAGGAATTACTATTAATTAATCAGGTATTAATTTTTATTAATTAATTAGATAGGAATTACTATTAATTAATCAGGTATTAATTTTTATTAATTAATTAGGTATTATTAGTTAAACAGATATTAATTTTTATTGGTTAATTATTTATTTATTGCTCTGAAACATACAGGTATTTGTTAATTAGTTATTAATTTTTTTAATAAAATCAATCAGTCAAATATTATTTATATTTAGATAATAAGAAAATTGTTATTATTAATTAATCAGGTATTAATTACTAATAATTAATCAGGTGTTAATTACTATTAATGAAGCAGGTATTCATTTTTATTAATTAATCAGGTGTTAATTACTTTTATTTAATCCGGTATTAATTACTTTTATTTAATCCGTTATTAATTACTTTTAATTAATAAGGTATTAATTAATATTAATTAATCCGTGATTATTCAGTAATAGTTTGTCAGATATTCATTAATCATTTATTAATTACTATTAATCAATCAGATATTAATTAATAAGTAACACATTAGTAATAATCAATCAGGTATTAATTAAAAAGTAATAATTACTTTTAATTTATCAGGTACTGTTTATTTTTAATTTAATCACATATTTATTATTATTAAATGATAATGTATTTATTGCTATTAATCAATCAGGTAATAATTACTATTAATTAATCAGGTATCAATTACTTTCAATTAATCAGGTATTAATTACTTTTAATTAATCAGGTATTATTTAATATTAATTATTCCGATAATATTTATTATTAGTTAGTCATATATTAATTATTATTAGTTAATCAATTATTTTTATTTCTAATCCGGTATTTATTAATCAGTTACTAATTAATATTAATCAATCAGGTATTAATTAATCAGGTTTTGAATACTTTTAATAATCAGGTATTAAATACATTTAATTAATCACCTACTAACTAAGATTAATTAATCAGGTACTAAGTAATATTAATTAATCAGGTATAAACTTTAATTAATTAATTAGGTACTAACTAATTAATTAAGTACTAACTAAGATTATTTATTATTACTTAATCAAATTTTAATTATTATTTAATCATGTTTTACTATTATTAATAAATCCGTTTATTAATTACTGTTAATCACTCTCTATTAATTAGGTATTAATTAATATTAATTGATTAGATATTATTTGTTATTAAATAATAAATTAATTATAATTAATTAAATTATAAATTTATTAGTTCTTACTTTTAATTCATCAGGTATTTATTAATATTAATTAAATAATTAATTAATATAATTAATTATTGAGATAATAATTAATTATGAAATAAAATGAAATGTAGCACTGTCAATAATAATTCGAAAATACTTTTATTTAATTCTTCCAAGCTTATAGAGAGACAAATTTTCTTGTTTATAGAAAATTAGAATTACGGAATTATTAATTTTGTCGAACAAAAGGTACTTCAAAATATACTTATTGTTTAGCGAGGTATAGAGATATCAAATTGCTATCTATATACGTAAACAAGACTTATTGCGATGTCCAGTTAATCTCTGAAGGATATATATTAACTTTAATTATATTGTTCAAAAATCAATATTTCAAATCAATACCAATAAAAAAAAAAAATAACAACTCAAATCAAATTCAATATTATTATCAATAAATTAATAAGAGAACTAATTTATCAATAAATGAAAAAAAAATAATTTATTTACAATTTTCTAAATATTTTATTAAATTTTTAATAAAAATTTTTTTCATTTTTTGTTTCAGGTAAGATATTCATTTTTGATGCTTCTACTTTATTAGTATACGGTAAGATAATAAAAAATTTCTATTTCACTGAAACTAAAATTAATTCACTTAAATAAATACACTTGTAAAAAAAAAAATAATTACAATATTAATTTCACTATATATAATTATAAAACGCGGATTTCCGAGGGGGGAAAAAAACTTGTTTTTTTTTTTTTTTTTAATAATAATAAATGTATAACACAAGCACACACAATTTTTTTTTTTTTTTTGGGGAAGACATACAAGGCGGTGACATTGCAAATTTACCGTTTTCATTTCCGCGAAGTTGTTCGCACTTTACGGTGCCATAAGTCCCGGGGCCCCCGATATATTCGCAAGGCAATATATATATGTGTTGTGTGTATATATCGTGAGAGAGTCGCGTTCCTCTCATTTTGGGACCTCACCGCGGCATAAGTTCCTCGTCGATTTCTCGTTTGGACGACCGACGAGAAGACCCAATCTTTCTCTTCGCAAGAGGTTTTCTGTTTGGCGGTGGCGGCGACGGCCCGTTTCCGAGAAATAACGGGTCGGTTTAATCCCCCGCATCACCCCCCTTCTCCCCTCTCTCTAAAAACCCCTCTTCCATCTCTTTTTCTACACTCGCGCCAATAGCTTAACTCTCTCTCTCTCTTTCCCTCCCCCCCCCCCCTCTTTGGCACGTATATATGTGTGTGTGTGTGTGATAAAGTGCATGTGTTTCATTGGGGAGCGCGCGGGCGCTCGCCTTGATGCGCAATCGTTTCTGCGCAGACCACTACGCGCCGCTGAGCGTGGCGCGCCACTAGTCCTTCTCAGTGTGGATCGAGCCGTCGTTGAGTGAGGACGTTTCCTTTTTTTTTCGCCCCCCCCCACCTCTTCTTCCTCCAGTGTATGTGTGTATAAATATATAACAAAAAAAGTTTATTTTTTTTTTTCCCTATTTAATTTTTGCGCGCGCATCCTTTGGTTATTCCCCCCCTGCCCCTCCTAGTGTTGAGTTTTTTTTTTTTTTTTTTTCCAAAAATGAATATGTCCAATTTGTTTTGTTCTAAACTAAAAAGCACATGTGGCACCACGAGGACGCCGTCGTTCGTCGACCGGAAACGACGCGCGCAATCCAACTTCCTCGAATACTTTCGTGTCTTTCAATTATTAGGTCCATTGGAAGGACCGGAAGTGTGGATCAGTGGAGAACGAAAAATAAATCCGGGAGTTACTTAACGTGTGCTGTGTATTCTATGACTGAAAATTAGTGATGTGACGACAATTTTGAAAAATTGTGTTTTTTTTTTTTTTTGGTGAGAAAATAACTTCACAAAATGTGCCTTGAGGAATATTTAACCGGTAATTGGACCATTCCTTATGCCATTGAGGTAGTAATGGTAGCGTGATCACGCTACACCACGGTGCGCCATAGTACTATAGAGACTTCCGGTCCGCCACAGGAAGTGAGACACACGTGTCCGGGCGTGTGTGTTCCCATACTAATATAACCGAGTGGTTCTCTCTATCCTGTGGTGCGTTACAAGTACACTGCCTTCGGGTACCACTGCTTTTTCTTTTGCAAAAAAAAAAAAAAGGCAAAAATTTTCTGTTTACTGGTCCCCCGGATGCCTTTGGATAATTACCATGACAAGTATGTATTTTTTTTTTTTTTTTAATTTAGGGTGCTTTATCCCCTCTCTCTCTTCTGTGAACCCCCCCCTACCCCTTTTTTCATAGTAGAGGGGGAAAGTATCAAAGTTCGACTGACCGCCTTTCTTGTTATCGTTATCAAAGCAGCGCCAGTTTTCACTTGTCGATTATACTTACATTATGAATGAATTTTTTTTGGACATATATTTCCCTCGCCATATTGCGGTAGTGCGCTTGCTCTTTCACCAGTGGCTCTCATTTCGCGGAATACTTTTACACTATTTATAATTAACTTGGATTTTTGTTTTGTGCAGAAAAAAAGTATTTTTTTTTTTTTTTTTGAATTAATATTTAGAAAATATTCCTATTTTTCCTGCAAATCGCCAACAGGAATTCAATTTAGGAATGCGTTATTATAATAATTATATCCTGCGTGGCAAACCCCTTTTTATCATTATTTACATGCCATGGAAATTCACGCGTGCCAATTACCTTGCATCATCCGTTTTTTTATTTTACTCTCGCACGCGCTTCATTTTTTTTTTTCAATAGAGAAATACTTTGTTAACTATCGGGAAAGAGAGAGAGAGAGAGAGAGAATGCAAGAAATCCGCGTTCGTTCAATCATTTACTTGTTTATTTTTCTCGCCTTGAACTTTACACTTCTTCGCCGTATTGTGGCACACGATCTCCAAGCTGCTGTCAAAGATGCGTAATATTTTAGTTTTATCGCTTTATTAAACATGAATTACACTCATTAATTTTCTCTTTCGTAATTTTCATGGAGATTCCAATTTATTTTGGAACACATAATGAAAGGTTAGTTTTTGTAGAGATTATTTTTTTTTTTCCTATTTCCATGTTATTTCTGATTTTATAAATAGATCTATTTTTAACTGTCATTTAGTAGACTATTTTTCGCTACTTACAATATAATTTATTATCGTTAATTTCCAATCGTTTTTAAGAAAAAAAAAAAAATTCAGTAATCTTTTTCTAATTATCGTTTACGGTGAACTAAAAGAAAAAAAAAATTCTGTTTACAACCACAGATAGTTTTATTGATCTTGAAAGGTTACTTATAAATCAAAGATGACGTTTTACATGTTCTATAAATAATTTTAGACTATCATATTTGGTTGAATTTTTCTCAAAATTAAAAAAAAAACCGTTTTTTTTTCTAATAATTAAAAAAAAGATCGAATTTTTGTGGCGGCAGTTATAGCCCAATCAGGGGGGGGGGGGGGATAAAGTTGAGAGCCGCGTTATTGCATACCGTATTATGGTTTGTGGGCCGATTGCCGGTGAGCTGAGAAACGCGAACCGTAGGAGGCTGTGTTAAGGACAGGTACCCATGGAATGCCGTCTTCTGGCTTGAATATATATCTGAGACTGTGAACCGACGAAACTCTCCCCGCGTGCGTTCCTTGTTTCTTCCCTACGAAGCCGCGTTCCACTGTTTCACGACGTGTGCGATCAAAACCTTAAGGATCGAACAAACTCTCATTCTCTCTCCTTCTCTCTCGAGAGCGCGAAATTTCCCCCTCCCCCCCTGCTCACTCCCACCCAATGGGGGTTATGACGCATCGCACACACAACGCCCAATGTTATTATTATTTATTCTATACAATGCTCTAGATTTTTTTTTTTTTTGTTTTTTTTTTTCTTACGTTTTAAATTTCCGTGTCTTGAACACTCCTCTTTGTCGCGACGCGTCTTTGAAATCTAATTACGAAGAGTCGTTGAGCTCGCATTTTATTTGCATTCCAACATCCCTCCCCTCTATCCGCGTTGACTTCCAAGAAAATTCTTATACGCTCGATATCAAAGATCTCGCGAATGAGAAAGAGAATCGTCCTTTTTCGTATGTAAATTTTTTTTTTTTTTTGAGAAATAAAAGATAGTTTTTTTTTAGGAAAAATATGTCAATTAAAAAAAATTTTCGTTTAAAAAAAAAAATTTGTGCGAAGTTCATCGCTCCCTATTTTTTTTCTCTCTTTCTCTTTTGTTATTGTTGTCGGTCGTGCGTTAGTAAACCCTTTTGCCCTCCCGCTTCTATATACGTGTGTGGGAAGATATTGTAAAGACTAATAATAATTTTTCACCGTTATAACAAAATTAATAATTTAAATAATTTTTTTTTTTACCAAAAAAAGCATTCTTTTTTTTTTTTTTTTTTTTTTTTTAATGTATATACAAGATTGTTGTGACCTCATTACAACATTGACCATTTATATCCTTTTCTTTCTATAGTTAATATTTGACGCCTTTAATAACCATAGATAATCGATATGGAATTATTTTTTTTTAGTTTTAATTTTGCATTAAATGAAAATTTCACCAACGCTCGTAAACCTCTTCTACATTTAATGAGTTGTGCTTGGCATATCTTTCTTAAATATATATATATATATATATATATATATATAGACACTTTCGGAAAACGTTCCCACGTTAGTCAGCAAATTCTATTTTTAGCCATAGCGACACTGTCCCCGTTTTTCTTATTTTTCAATTACCTTTATTTTTCCTTTTCTATTCAAATGACCATTTCACATATTATAATATAGGGCGTTAAATATATATTATTTATATTGGGGAAAAAAAAAATAATTACTAGTGCGCTAATAAAATAATTTGCATTATAACAAAAATATAATAATAGAAAAATTTTAATTAGAATTATTATTATTAGTAGTATTACTACTACTATTTTTATTAGTAATATTTTTATTATTATTACTATTATTATTATTATTATTAATAGTAGTATTATTGCTATTATTATTATTACTATTATTGTTAATAGTAGTATTATTGCTATTATTATTCTTACTACTATTATTATTACTTGTAGTATTTTTAGTACTATTATTGTTATTACTACTATTATTATTATCAAATGAATAAATTATTATTAGTAGTAGTAGTATTACTAGTATTATTATTACTAGTAGTATTTTTAGTACTATTATTTTTATTATTATTTATTATTGTTATTAATTGTTGGAGTATAATTTTATGAATAAACGTGAAGCACGTGATAAATCGGAACCTAACGCACACGGTAGATGGCATGCGCGTATCTGAGCTTGTTTACGTCGAGTGGGAAGCGGGCCCCGGGGCAAAAGGGGCCCGGGCAGCGTGAGAGCGGGCGCCTCGGACGAAACATTTAGTACAGTGGGCGCTCTCCCCCCCTCTTTTTTCTCTCTCTCTCTCTCTTTTTTTTTATCGTCCTTTATCCCCCTCCCTACCCCTTTGCCTCCTTCCTGTTTCTTCACCCTTTTTCCCTTTTGGCTCTGCCGATTCGGTTGATTCTCTCTTATAACATATATCGTTGGCATATAAGGTGAGGGGAGTGGGGTTTTTTTTTTTATTTATTTATTTTTTTTTTTTTTATGAAGACAGGGGTGGAACAAGGACCATCAGTGCCAAGGAGTGCGACACGCTGCTTTTAACCTTAGAAAAGGACGAAAGAAACATCTGAGTCGCCGGTCCGCCATGACAGAGCGGAATGCATGAGAACGCATAGCTACTGACCCCCCCCCTCTCTCTCTCTCTCTCAGTCCACTTCGTCTCTTTTTTTTTCTTTTACGCTTCTCTTTATCATTCTTTCATTTTGCGTGTGTTGGTTTTCCTCGTCAGATCCACGCTTCTTTTTCGATCATCCTATAACAAACCCCACCCAATATTCCTCGCGAATGAATCTATATTTTATTCAAAAATTGCAACAACAAAAAATTATAATTAATTTAATTATTAAAATGATTATTATATATTTATTAAAATTATTATTATTATATAATTATTAAAATTATTATTATTATATAATTTTAAAAAATAATATTATAATATAATTGAATATTTATAATTATAACACGGCAAAAAAAAAAAAGACTTACCTGATACAGCGAAAGATATTATTAGAATAGAAATAGTTTTAATTTCAGTTATTTCACTATTTTAGTGAAACGTTTCTCTGTTCCAAGTGAAATTTTTTTTTTTCCGCGAATAATTATAATCTAATATAGTATTATATAGTAATATATAATAATTAATAATATAATAAAATAATAAATAATATAAAATTATTATTATTATTATATATAATTAAATTATTTTAAATGAATCGAATTTCAAAATAAAAAATAGTTTTTGATCGTAAAACATGATTTATGATAATATTATGGTCACACACCCCCCCCCCCTCCCTGATTGGAATAAAATAACTTTTTTGGAATATATATATATATATATATTATTCATTGCAAAATAAAAAAAAAAAGGATAAAAGAATCTTGGAACGCGAAGGCACAGGTGCCGGCGTTTTCGCATGCCAATCGGTCACTTAACGGTTGCACGGTCGTAACACGGCCGACGACGCTGCATGACGTCATGTAAAATGACAAATCCGTGCTCATTTGTTATCTGTCTACCGAAAATAAAATTCTTATCCCACGGTGAATAACCTAAATTAAAATCAAGAAAGGAGGAATTTCGTTTCAAGAAAAAAAAAAAATCATCAATATTTCGTTGAAACTTAAAAAAAAATTCAGATAAAAAAAAATTTTTTTTTTAATTATTATTATTCCCCATCAAAAATTTACAATTGACGGAATAATTTTTTTTTTTTTTTTGTAGGTTTATTAGTTATTTGTAGTGATTTTGAAAAGTGGATGAAATTGTTGGCTTTTGATTATTATTAACGGATGAATTATTTATCTATTTGTAAGTTATTAAATAATTTTGTTGTCCTTTTTGATCACGTCATAGACGTAAAAGAGAGAGAGAGAGAGAGAGACATCGAGAAAAGAAGTCGAGGTTTTCAAGCGTTCCCTAACCTTCCATGGCTCTTCTCATTGGGTCGTTGACTCTCTTCGTTTCTTCTTTCTTCGAATCCTGGGCCTGATCCCCGTCCTCATCCTGGCGCACTCTATCTCTTTCTTTCTCCCCCCCCTCTCTCTCTCTTTCCCTCACCACTTTGTTAAATAGGTTTCTCTA